TCTTTCGGAGCAGAGAAGCGAGTGATGAGGATTCGATACCGGTGTCCAGCTCGATCTCCTCTGGAAGTGCTTTCTTGACAGCGTGAAGATTGACATGCTCATGTCTCTGTCTTACATCCGTCTCAGTTTCGGATGGACGTGGTATCCACACATTGATCTTTGTCTTTCTGTCGACGCTTATACCTGTGTACGCCAGCCAGCTGTCGGTACATGACGCTACAGCTTGGCCGCTCTTTTCCACAAGCTCCTCGTTGGCGACGTAGTCGCATGAGTTGCAAGACCATACGTTGTCTTCGCCTTTGGGAGAAACAAAATGATACTCGTGGCTCAGTTTACCTCCCATGTTGCCAGAATCGGCATCGGCGACTAGGTACGGCAGTCTGAGCTCGTTGAATAAATTGTTGTATGCTTCCCGTACTTCTTCGTATGTCTTGAGCGCGGCTTCTGTTGAGTGGTCGAATGTGTATAGATCTTTCATCATGAACTCCTTAGCTCGTAACAGCCCTTGTCTTGGTCTTCGTTCGTCGCGGTATTTGCGTCCGATCTGATACAGCCTCTGTGGCAGATCCTTGTATGAATGTACCATACTGGCTACCAGTGCTGTGATCTCCTCTTCATGAGTTGGTGATAATAGAAAGCCAGATTCTCTTCTATCTTTGATGCGCAGGAGTTCCGAGTTCGCGGAGTAGCGACCAGACTGCCGCCATAATGATTCTGTAGTAATGGAAGAGAGCGATAGTTTTGAAGCACTAATCGAGTTCATGTGCTTGTCGATTAGCGATTCAAGCTTATTTTGAACGCGTAAACCTAGGGGTAGGAGATGAAAGACTCCCGAATGTGCCTGAGCATGATGAGACAAGTGCTAGAAGTCAAGAGGTTGTAGATGTATACCTGACGGAGAAAGCCACCTCTAACGAGAAGAGAGTGAGACTCATCTGAAGAGCCGTTAGTCAATGTATGCTAGTCGCTCCGATGATCCTCACCTTGCTCGCCGTCCTGGGGTGATATACCACCGGTTGGTGCCCAGAATTTGGATAATCGATTTCTTGAGTCGGTCTAAGCCAATCATCAGCGTTGCCATCTAAATCACGAACTTTATTGGGACAGCTTACAGCTATATATCTAGCATGTCGAAAGCCTTGTATTGGTGTTCGCTGGGTTCGCGATTGCCATGCAGCTCTACGAACATACGCCGCCATGCGCGCACCACAATGACGATGTTCGATCAACTTCAAACAAAGAGCTCGGAGTCACACTGTAGATTTTAAGACGGAAAAGAAAGAGTGGAAATGTTGTATGTTCCGTAAATGGTGGCCGACAGCGGGAGATCTGCCTCCAACATGACGAGCACAGACCACGTCGAATCTCAAAGCGCATGGAAATATTTGGAGATCGAACCCATCTCTCAATTGCTCCACGACCACATCTCAGGTAAGCATACCAATTCCTTTACTGGGCCAGTGTCCCTACAGAAGGTGTTAATCGATATCCAGAATGCCTCCACGGATACGCATCAGGCCACGCGCCCTCCGCGCCTGCACCTCGAACCCAACCCACCCCATCTCTCTACCCGCAATCGCAACCTACGCCACAGTAGCAGCGACCACCCCCGCGCCCCCAATCCAGCAGACATACAAAGCCGCACCACCAGTACTACGATACCCACCCACGCAACCACCCTCTCACAAGCCACCGGAGGTCCGCAAAACCCAACTCCACCGCCAATACCAATCGCTGCTCCGATCCTCGCCTCTGATCCTGATATTCCAACACAACAACGTCAAAGCAGTAGAATGGATGAGCATAAGGCGGGAGCTAGCCATTGCCCTCCGCAAGCTGGACGCCGAGAGAGTGAAGAACGGGCAAGAGACGCTTGCAGAGGAGGTTAAGATGCAGGTCATCCAGACGAATATCTTCGCAAGCGCACTGCGCGTCGTCGAGTTCTTCAACCCGGAAACTTCGACAATGGATCATGCGCAACATCCTACGGACCCGCGGACACCGACGAGCGCGCAGATACCGAACACGAGTAATGACGCAGCAGACGAGCGCTTCACACACGGTCTGTCGAGACGGGCATACGAGATTGCGAACAACAGGAAGTTGAAGTTGGAATTGGAGCCTTTGCTCTCGGGGCCTCTTGCCGTCGTAGCGTTCCCCGATGTTGCGCCGCAATACCTCAAGACCGTCCTGTCCATCCTCTCGCCTTCAAAGCCCGGATTCCCTGCTCCAAGCCGAAAAGCGAACCCAGACTACTACGAACCAGCCGTCCAAGCTGGTCTCCAGAAGCTCATGCTTTTGGGTGCGCGAGTAGAGGGCAAGGTCTTCGACGTAGACGGCACGAAATGGGTTGGTGGTATTGCTGGAGGTATTGATGGCCTCCGCGCTCAGCTTGTACATATGCTGCAGGGTGTTGGTGGAAGCCTTACTGGTGCTTTGGAGGGCGCGAGCAAGAGTCTGTACTTCACTGTTGAGGGAAGGAGAATGGATATGGAGGAGAAGGAGAAGGGGCCTGCTGAGGAAGAGAAATCGCCATAGAGTCAAGTTGTGGTATGTACAATATGATCGGCGAGACTGAAGAATCTGATCTAGAACTTCGCTGGTCCACCTGTGTGTTACAATCTGTATTAGATAGAATGCAGTACCCCACTAGCTGGCGTCTCGGACCATGAGTCGCTGATGGTTTCTGCGCACTCTATCACCTCGATAGCAAGTTCAACGGCGCATACCTCCTATTACGTTGTCTCCACTTTACAAGAACTGCAGATTTGATGTAAACAACAAACACATACACTTTGCCATATTGATATTGGTCCATCTCCACAAGCACTCTGTAATGATGAGTAGAATACAGTGAAGCGTTTCGACGACGACTTACGCAGTACCACACTTGTTCTCCACGTTGTCGGACACCAGAGTAACATGTTCTGGAAAGGCGGACAGTGTTTTCGTTTTGTTGACTCAATAAGTCCCGATCTTGTAAATTGGGAAGGTCGGATTTGCAGACCTGATCCGCTTGCTGTAGCACCGGCTAGTCAGTCCGCATCTTTGGCACTTTATTATTCAGAACTAACCACGCACGACAAAGGGCAGCAGCAGGCATCGTGATGCCCTCTCGGCATTCTTGAAGCTGAAGATGCGTAAAGGTTGTTGTTGGAGGTGGTCGGGTTGCGTGAGGCCTCAGATCCTACCTGCTGACTCTACACGCGTAGACTTATCGGGTAAGCGCGCCAATCAATAAACGGGAACATGACCACCTACCTGGATGCATGCACATAGCCCTCTTAGGATGCTGCGTAAACCTATGGTATCCCGCGATATTCAGCCTCGTATGGCCCCGCGCTTTACGATGACAGCAGGAGTGCCCCGCTGGATGATTGCCGCCTTCACCACCTGCACCGCTTCCTGGTGGCCACTGTCCGAACACCACCAGCTCATCGCTCAAACAACAACGCATGGAGCATGCCATCTATCAACCGCATAGTCCATGGAAGAAGTTTACGGATCGACGAGAACTAACGCACCTACCTGAAGACGATGCTAGGCTGTGTATTCCGGGCCAAACGAGCGCCCAGATCATCGAGAGATTCCTAGTATACGAAGAATTGAAGATTTACATAGACGAGCTGGTGCCACGCCGACGGCAGGTTTTGAGAGACTTTCTGAACGAAGTCATTCCCACTTTCTCACGTGGAATATGCCCTTATTTGCAGGACGTGGAAAGATCTAGCAAGGACGATCACATTGCGCTTGTGGACGACCGGCAAAACCATGAAGGATGTGTAAACAAGAACCCAACAAAGCGCTGTGACGACTGCATAATCTATTCGAGATCAGTCAAAATTCCTGAGCTCTGTGTACGATTGCAGGAAAAGGTAAATTGACCCTTGTTCTAGTAACATACGAAAAGTGGCTTATTCCATAACAGAGAAGGACACACAAGGCTGAAAAGCGGATAATGTATGATCGCCAACTTGATACATCGACATCTACGCAACCATGCATGCTAAATTACACAGCTTTATACCAAATCTCACATCTGCGGCAGCTGTAGGTTTAGCAGCATCAGTCGCGGAGCGATCAGCTGTCGCCCTCCGGGGTTTCCTACATAGATATCTGAAACGAGAGACTGCTTTCAGCGCAACTACGGTAAGTTCATCTAACCCCGGTTTCTGTTTACTGACTACTTAAGACCTGGGGCTTCTTCTTCGAAATACACATACCATACCATGCATTGCGCCGCGGGCCACTTGCGGGCACTGAAGATCCAAGACTGACAGGGGGCAAACGCCTCCGCAAGACCGAGCCTCTACCACTTGGAAATCATTCCAGTGATAAAGAAGATCTTTACTATCACGAAGCTCAAACTTCATCACTTTCTTGGGGTGCTGATGAATGGTTCTGGACGGAGCTATGTCTGGTAGACACCTACTTCGGCTCCGAGGAAAAGCACAAGACCTATTTCGCTGGATGTCAGGAAGGTGATGGATTCGATCCTGCGTGTGGCGGCAGATATTCGGTGACTGCGTTGGGCTTTGATCCGAGAGAGTACTTTCTAGTGAAGCTCTGGTTTCGGACTGAACAGGTAGTTACGGAGTACAGTGCACTCATCGAGACTTTCAACATGAGAATGGATGAATATGTAAGTCACGCAAATCTTTTACAAAAGACATCTCTAAACACACTTGAAGGCGCAAGCTATCAGACGCGTTTTCGAAGACGACAACAAAAGGACGAATACAAGGACCATAAGTGACGTTATCGAAACAACACAAGTGTTTATTGACAACATCGGCGGTATAGTCGACGCTTGGGACACTTTCCGTCGCACCGAGCTGTCGCTCTTCAACACTAACATATCCGAAAAGTCGCTGTGGCCAAAGTACATCAACAGCATCATACGAAATGTTGCAGAGCTAGACCGACTACGCAAAATACTTCTTACGAAGCGAGATCGCTTCAAGTTCAAACTCGACAGCGTAAGTTCAATACCACACGCCATGCCGAAGTGCGCACACTGGTCTGATAATCCACACTACACAGCTTCACACTGTCTCTAGTCTCAGCCAAACAGAGACAGGAAACCTCCAAGCAAAGACCGCAGTCACCCAAGGCGACGACCTGAAGATGCTCACTAAGATGACTGTTGTAAGCCACCCCATACTGATCCATCGCTCTTACACAGCTTCACCAAGAGCTAATCGTGACCCTCATAGTACGTCGCCTTCCCTTTACTTTTCACAACAGCATTCTTCAGCATGGATTTCGTCACAGCGAAGTACCCGTGGGCTGCATTCTTTGGGGTATTGGTGCTGATGTCATTGTTAAACTACATCATTGCCTCACCACGGAGCTCTCAGAGAAGGTGGAAAGAGTGTAAGACGTGGGTCAATGCCGTTTTAGGAAACTGGACATACAATCGAATATAACGCATCACCACACAAAGTCGCAACATGTTTATACTTTACGATTCGATTCGTTTTATATAGGTATCCACATATGCTGCGTGGTATCCTAAGGGTATCATGAGGGATCTGCCTGCCCAAATATGCACACTTCGAAAGATTTGTAGTGGAAAATAAAAAGGACTCCCCTTCTTTCTTCGAGAGACAGAACTCGCGCGCGCGCGCAGACACACACAAAAAAAAAGACACAAACTCAAAACGTCCTGGGCGCCCCAATCTGGTTCCTCGTATATATAGGAGAGGTATAGGAATGTCGTGGTCGTCATATCCCAATTCGCTCGATCGATCGCTCGCTCGCTTCACTCCTGCCGCGCATTATGCCAATAAAGAATAGTTTGGTGTGTGTGAGAGTGAGGGTTGGTGTGGAGAAGCATGTTCAGTCGAGCTCAATGTCGCCGTTGCTTTCGTGACCGATTTTTCCGTTAAACGCCGATTGTGGAGAGAGATCCGTAACCCCGATGCTGCTAAGTTGATATGTGCGAAAGGAAAATCTGACGTCGCTATCGTCGTGCGCCGCCTACTTCGACCGAGTGTGATGTTCGTTCAAATTGGAGCTTTCGTCGCTTGTTCGCCATGTTCCCGCCGGGTGTGTCTTCGCCTCCGGTGGAGTCTGCATAGTCGTCTCCGAAGCCCTCGCCGTAGCCTTGGAATGCGGCATCGGTGTAGCCGCGCTTCGAGCTGGATCGCTCTGGCCTTACTGCACCCCGGTTCATATGGTTGGTCGGTGTTGGTGCGGAGGATGTGAAGGATGTGGCTCGCTGTGGTGGTAGTTCTTGTGGTTTGGGTTTTACGGCATCGTCTGTGCCGAGATAGGCCTTGTATTTGGCAGCTTCTGCGTTGGGGAGAGGTCCAGGAGCTGTGCCTGCGAAGGCGTCGTCGAGAAGTCTGCTGAGGTTTGAACTCAATGCTGTGCCGTCTGCTGTCAGCCCCTGCTTCTCGGGCTCTCTGTTCTGCACATGTTGCGACTGCCAAATCTCTTCGGGCATTAGCAGCAGATCCCGGAAAACGCCGTCCATCTTAATCGCTTTTGGCTTGCCAGCGATCTGCATCTGCTTGATATGACCCTCGTAGGACTTGCGAAGCTTGTTAATCTTCTCGCCTGTTACCGGGTCATTGCGGGCTACAGTGCTGGCGAGCGGGTTGAGCCTGTAGAGCGAGATGAAATTTTGCGAGGGTTGCGGCCGTGCTATTTCCATCTTCTCGCTGCTGAGTTTGAACAATTGGCTGCCGCAAATGCCTTGGGCAGCTTTGAGTCGGCCGTCTTCGGTGTATGGCGATTCGGCTTGCCGGTTGTGGTTGGACAGCCTGTGGTGACGCAACCGCGTCATGTCATCGTCCGCGCTCTCTTCCATCGTCGCATCGCCATCGCTGTCGATGTTGGCGCTCGACATGAAGCCGGCAGTGCTCGCGGGGGTCGGGAAGGGGTGCTGGTTGGATGCCGATGTTGCCGACTGGGAGAGCGAGGTGGACATGGGCAGGGAGGATTGCGGTGAGCGGTCCGACACGGCGGAGTTTGTCGTGGGGAAGCCTCCATTGGATTGCGAATTCATCGAGTAGGGTGGCGAGGTGGGCGTTCGAGGGTGAATGAGCGTCTTTGTCGTCTGGCCGCTCGCCTTGGCAGCGACGTCAAAGGGCGGGCTGGCGGGTGAGAATCTTCCTATCGAGTCCAAACGTTGCCGTTTCGCGCTGTGATCCGACATAGAGGCCGTCTTCGGGGGTGGAGCGAGGGGGGAGAGCTCGTCGGCGTGCGTGGAGCGTGCAGCGGTGGGTGAGAGGAGGGCTCGTACTGAAGCGCTTGGCGTCCTCCGCGCGGGTCGACCGCGGCAGCAAGGTGGGCGCGCTACTCGATGGTGCGCATGCGAAGAGAGCGGACGGCGGCGCTGGCGACGATGGGCGGCGGGCGATGGGGCGGGGCGTGGGCGTGGCGGGATGCGCAGGAGGGTTGTGGGCGGCTGAGGGTGCGAAGATGTGAAGGAGATGATGGGGTTGACCGGCGGTTTGGGCTCAGCGCTGTCTCGACTGCTCACGTGACGTGCCGGGGCCCATGGTCCGCCATCTAAAACCGCCTTTCGTGTTAGGGCGTGTCAACCATTCATCGCCGCTGCAACAACAAGACAACAGACAACAAAGGCATCATCCAAAGTTCAATGCCTGCACCGCCAGTCTTTGGCCGGTATGGATGACAACAGGCGCGCCGGTGCCTCTGCTGCGGCCGCCTCACCTGGTGCAGCGCCGACTGCGCGCCCCGAGGCATCGAATCCACCCGCGCCGAGCAATGCGCCCAAGATCCAGCAGCCGAAACCCCAAGCTCTGCCATCGCGATCCGGCCCCAGCGCCATCCTGGTCTCGCCGCGACAGAAAGGCAACCCCATCCTCAACAGCGTGCGCTCCGTCGCATGGGAGTACTCTGACATTCCCGCCGACTATGTCGTCGGTGCCACAACATGTGCCCTCTTCCTGTCGCTCAAGTACCACCGTCTGCATCCCGAGTATATCTACAACCGCATCCGAGACTTGAAGGGCCAGTACAGCCTGCGCATCCTCCTTACCATGGTCGATATTGAAAATCATGAAGATCCATTGAGAGAGCTATCCAAGACGTCATTAGTCAACAACGTCACAGTCATGCTATGTTGGAGCGCACCAGAAGCCGGTCGCTATCTGGAACTTTTCAAGACATTCGAGAACGCTGCACCGACCAGCATTCGCGCTCAGCAAGCAGGCACTTATTCAGAGAAGATGGTCGAATTCATCACCGTACCACGCAGCATCAACAAGACAGATGCAGTAGGCTTAGTCTCTAATTTTGGAAGCATCCGCACTGCAATCAACGCTGGGCCTGAGGAAATTGGCCTAATAGCAGGGTGGGGTGACAAGAAGGTTCAACGATGGTGCAACGCCGTCAGGGAGCCCTTTCGGGTCAAGAAGGCAGCGCGACGAACCGTCGGTCAAGACAGCGGTGCGGCGACCATGTCACGCGACATCTCCATGGCAGAAGGCGAAAGCCAGATGCCGCCGACAGCGGATGCTGATGATACAGCACATCGCAGGGTGGACGATGCCGGGCCTCTTGCACTGGAGCTGGAGAGATCCGCTCCTTTTGCAACTTCAGGGTCGGATGCAGACAAACGACCCGATCATCGCATCGCTGAAGATCTCAACCAGGACGATGAAGAAGCAATGCGTGAGGCAGAGTTGGGTGCAGTCCCACGAGGCAATGAGACTCAACCCACTGCTCCAAAACCAGTGAAGCGGAAGCAGGCAGAAGAGGAAAACATGAGCGAGGGCGTCATGGCTGCACTCAGCAAGTTGAGGAAACAATGAACAATGTTCTACGACACTTTCGAAAATGCGACATGTGACTTTGCCCAATTGATGGGCAACAATCAATCCCTGACGTTCACTTTTCAAAGTCCGCTGTGATCAATACAGCATCGTTTGCAATGGCTATCGCGAACAAATTCCATGTGCAGCATGCCGTCATGCGCCCTCTCATTGGTGACCCCACTCTGGTCCTCGCCCTGCAGCTGCAGCCTAGCCTGCCCACATGCACCTACTTCACTCGGTAGCAAACACATTCAGCCTTACTCCTCCAGCCCAACCACCATTCCTTTAGATACATCGATAGACCTGCTTCTCATTGTGAGCACGTCAAGTGCAGCCATACACATCGAGACTCTTTTAGCAGCCAAATACTACCAGTCACTATCGCCCAAGATGAGCCAATTTACGCAGTTGCCAGCCGAACTCCAAATCCAAATCTTCGACTACCTTCACGCTGCCGACGTCAAATCCGCGAGAGCTGTGAGTAGAACGTTCCGAAACAATGCTACGCCTGCGCTCTTCCGCAGTATCGTTGCTTGTGCAAGATACCAAGCGCTGGGCGCCTTCCAAAACGTAAGTTCAAAACGAACCCTGGAGGTACCCGCACTATCTTTCGTAATGAGGAAGTCAATGTTAGCCTCATGTATGCCTCAAGACCACAGTTTGGTATCAAGTAGATAGAGCACGGGCATATGGGCTAATGACACGAACAGGTATCACTACACTCGATATACTCAGGCTATGTAAGAGAGATCATCTTTGATGGAACGCTATACGATGGGCATCTCGCGAAAGACCATCGCAACTACTCTCGAGCTGAAGAGGCTAGCGGCAAATTTCAATCAGGATCTTTCTACGCAATGCGAACCAGATGGAAAAGATACCAAGAGCTTTACAAGGAGCAAGAGAGCATGAAGGAGGACGGCGTCTTGTTACAATCATGCGCACGAGGCCTTGAGAATATGCAGAATATCTCGTCCATCGTTTACTCGCCATATCAACACACCATCCCTATGGAGGTCAAGACACTGCGCGATTTGCTACCAAGAGGAGCTCTTCCAGGCGCGCTCACCGACAACCGCACGACTGACTCGGATCATCCCTTCCGCCAACTTATTGGTGCCGTCTTTCTGTCGAATTACACTGGAATCCGACAGCTCACGATCGAAGCACCTCGCGAAGGCCTTCCTCGCACTGAGCTCTCTTTGAATATGTTCAGTTTCCCAGACGCCAACGACCTGAACGCCGGCAAACACCTTTTCCGAAACTTGGTTAAGCTAGACATAAGTTTGTCTATCCTCAACATACCGAGTCAGATGATACATACTATGACTGTGGTTGACCCTCCTGAACGACAGCTTGAGAACCTGGCCAAACTCCTCGAGGCTGCTCAAGAGCTGAGGCACCTTTCTTTTGGCATACTGAACTGGAGGTATCTTGACGAGCTGATGTGGGGTGGGGGCAACATTCCAGAAGGACGCTCTATCATAGACTTGATCGGTCTTGGAGCAACATGGCCGAAGCTCCGCTCCATGGAGCTCAAAGGCCTATACGCTAGGGAGCGCGATCTGTGTGAACTAATCAACCGACACAAGGACACACTCAGAACCCTTACCTTCGCAACAACCACTCTAAGCGCAGGTCTGTGGATCGAAGTCGTGAACGAGGTTGTTTTCAATGCGTCTATGATCACAACATTCGTGCTGGACCGGGTCGATGAAACCCACAGCGGATGGAATCTAACCAGCGCCAACGGGGCTTTAGAAGGATATGAAGGCCGGCTGATAGTGACCGAGGGTGGAGAACGCGAATTTGTACGCAGCAGTCCTTGATTTTGATTTGTCTTGCTATTAATGATAATGTATAGGTCAGCACCAATCCAGATGCACCCTCGGTTCACGACGCCCGCAACAACGCAGCAAACCCAGCATGATCCACTAGTACATTATGTTTTTGCGCACACCAATGACTTGGTATTGGCGATTGCTCAGACATTCCTCCGTCTTTGGTAGCATGAATCAGGTATTAGCTAATAGTCAAACACTGTTCTGCTGGCTACATACATCCGTATTCGCATTCTTTTGCTCATTCAATGTGATGTAGGCCGCAAATCTTGAGTCTGGTCCTTACGACGATACGAGAGTCTAGTATCAGAGAGCCGTTGCTCGGCTGCCCTATATGCAGGACTGCCAACCTGTGCTCTAGACGCCATCACGACCTTTTTCCAACTGTTTACCCATTCAGGATATTTGTCCGAGCCTGTCTGCGACATTTCATCATCGTCTTCGTCATTCTGCCCTCTCTTGCACTCTTTTAGGACATCACCTTCTTGCTCCTCTTCTTGCTCCTCTTCTTGCTCCTCTTCTTGCTCCTCTATCTTCCCCTGCGCCTCCAGGCAACTAGAACATGAGTCTTCCGTGTCCTGCTCTACCGCCCTCTCCTTCCCCTTCCAGACCTTCTCCTTCACTGTTGTTTCAGAATCTGTCTCAGAGTCTGTCTCCGTTCCGTTGATGCCCTTCCGCATCTCCGCTTCCCCCTGTATCGCCATCTCTTCCCCATCCCCCACATCCACATTCTCTTCCCCACCACCCTCCTCCCCCTCCCCATCCCCCCCTCTCCCACCCTCCTTCTTCTCACCCTCCGCATGCCCCTCCCCCAACCCACCAATCCACTCCGCCGTCCTCACCCTCCTCAACTTTCTCAACCTCGTCCTCTCCGCATAATCGATAATCTCACCTCCATCCCAGCTATAATCTATCCTGCCAATCTCGGCCTGACTGTCTGCGACGCGTCGCTCTTGCCATTCCACCCACCCGTTACTTCCTGGTGCACAGTAACTGCGCACGTCGTCGTCGCGGTGGTGGATGCGTGCGGCGACTGGTTGCCAGGATGTGGGGTGTTGGCGGTGGGGGAGTTGGGAAATTGGGACTGGTGGGCGTGCGGGGGTTGTGGTGGTCGTGGTGGTTGCGATGGTTGGGTTTGGGGCCTGAGTTGGTGGTGCAGGGGCGGGGGCAGAGGTAGTTTGCTCAGTTTGAGGCTGGGCTGTGGATTGATCTGAGGTGGTTGGGTTTGGAGATGTTGTACGTGGTGGTGGATTGCTTGTGGAGGGATTTGGTGATCCAGCGAGGGGGGCTGGTGAAGATGGTATTGATGCTAGACTTTGAGAGAGGATGGATGTGTTGGCTTGTTGGAGGGAAGCTCTAGCTGCGTGGGCGGCTCTCCGTGGGCTCGACATTCTGGTTTAAGTGAAGGGTTGAAAGCCTAATGTCGTGACGTTGGGGAAGAGAAGAGAGACTTTCTGGGGAGCCATATTGAATACTGCGCAAAAGGCTATGTCAAGTCGGACCACGGTAGCAGAGAAATCTCCTAGAGAAACATGTGACGTTTAATTCATAAGGCAACCCTGGTGTTGGTGGGCTGAAAGATTTAGCATTAAACCTTGGTACGCTATCGCAGTACCATGTACTATATGACTCCCCCAGCATAAGGACCAACCGCATAATAAACAACAGTCATCAATCGTCAATTCAAGCCCTCTCGACCCTCTCAGTAGCACCCTTGGCGTCATTGTCCACAACAACACTGTGGTGCCTTGCCGGGTCCTTCTCCTCAATGGCCGCGCCTTCAACAACATGGTTCTGACCACCGAAGATTGCGTCCATCTCCTCGAGACTAACCTTCTTAGTCTCGGGAACGAAGAACCAGACAAATGCGGCTAGCAGCATGTTGATGGCGGCGAACATGTAGAAAGCGTAGAAGCCCTCGTTCTTGAGGAAGACGGGGAAGAACTGCTGGACGATGGAGTTTACGACGTTTTGGGTTTGCGAGCACATTCCCACGGCTTGCGCACGGATGTTCATGGAGAAGATCTCGGCGGTGAAGATCCATACTGTTGCGCCCCAGGAGGGTTTGTCTGTGGTGGTTGTAAGTGCGTGTTGGTGTTGAGATGGTACTGAGAGGGTGTGACTTACAGAAGAGAGCGAAGAGGAACATGAGGAACACGATCGCGATACCAACGGGTTCCGATTTTGCTCCGCTGGGCAGGGTAGGTGTCTGTGTCTCCACAGTAGCAGCGATGAGCATGCAAATGCCCATACCAATACCACCGACGATGAACAGGAACTTGCGTCCAAAGCGGTCGACAGTCCAGGTAGCGTTGAGCGTGAAGATGATGCTGAAAGTAGCGTTCAAGGCGTTGATCAGGGAGATGGTGTCGGCGCTTGTGAAGACCTTCTTGTAGATGATGGAGCTGTAAGAGTTGAGTGTGCCCTGTCCAGTGATCTGCTGACCGCCATTGACAATCATCGCAATGTACATGCGCTTCCTGACAGACTTGTCCTTCCACAGAGCAGAGAAGCCGGAGGAGATTGCTTCGGCTTCGAATTCGATAGCCTCGCGGATAGTGGTGATCTCATCCTCGACATCCTGCTCGGTGGCACGGACGCGGCGGAGCGAGCGGCGAGCCTTTTCGTAGTTGCGGTTCTTCTGAACGTACCAACGGGGCGACTCCGGGATGAAGAAAACTTGGGAGAGGATCAGGATAGGCACCATCATCTGGAAAATGACTACCATCTTCCAGTCCCACTCACCAAGTTTCTGGGGGTTCTTGGAGGTGCCGAAGGAGATCCAGTATGCGATAAAGGAGCCAACGGAATAGAACATCTGCCAGAATGACATGATCTTTCCACGGATCTCAGGGGGCGAAAGTTCTCCGATGTAGATAGAGCCAGCTGTCAATGCGAGACCTTGTCCGATACCGATGAGGACACGACCAGCAATGAAGACACCGATTTGTCCGCGGGGGGCGAATGTTTGCATGATGGTCGCGATGATGACGCATACAGATCCAGCAGCCATACCAACTCGACGGCCAGCGAAATCAGCGAGGGGTCCAGCCTATACACAGTAAAGTTAGTACGCGTTTTGCGGACTGATGATATACAGACGTGACATACCATGAAGAAACCAGCTACGACAGCACCGACTGTGTATGATGTGTTGATGGCGCCGATGATGTTGGGTCCGGGGTTGTTGTAGTAGGCAATCCAATGCTTCGAGTTTTGCAACGCGTTGAAGACGGACGCATCGTAACCGTAGAGCACCATGCATGATGCTGCAACGAGCGAGATGTACCAGTTGTACACCCTAGTCTTGTCGACCATCTTGACGGTAGTCACTCAGGATTTCTCCCAAAACGAAAGTAACAATAGCGCTCGACTTGGTAGCGATTGACAAAGGCGTCCAGCTCGAATTCCGCAACGGATACAGCGAGAGATTCGTAGAACTCTGGAGTGGAGAGCAATCAGCGGAGACTGCGATGGGCATATATACATGCCACATGAGAAGCCACCCTGTGGATTACTATCTTGCCCCATGTCAACCCCATGGGCTCGGGGAAGCGCCAGTTCCAGCACCCAGGATCCGATGCCTACGCCGCTACCAGACGCCTCTATCCAGAATATCACCACGAATCAACATGCCCAGACCGCCTCCAAAGCTTGCTCTAGTGCCAAATGCATCCACGCCTAGCACTCCGTTCTCCGTAGTCCCTGAATCTGGGGAATCTGGGGCTTGGGACGGGAGTGTCAATGGAGAGATTTTGTCCATCTGATGGACGGAGAGGCGTCGTCGAGTTTTTCCACGAATGGGCGTAATAGAGCTAAGTGTTGAGGCGCCGTTGTTTTGAGGAGAAGCGAGACCGACTCATGCCGAGATGGTGTTTAGTGCACCATCTAGCCCGTGAGTAGCTAGGTTTGCCGGCGACAATGTCGATAATGGGTAGAATTTCCTCGTGGACGCAAGCATGCCAAGTCAGAGACAAGGGAGACGCAGCGAAGCAAAGCTTTTGGCTGCCGCCTGGGCTCTCTTATTTTGCGATTTATTGATGCTTAAAACTGCGAGAGTGGTCCTTGGGAAGCGCATGTGTGGCGCCGGTGCCATAGTCGAGTCGCAGAGAGTGTCTGGTCATTGTGGACGACTTCATGTTGTGAACGGAGAGCAGGTATCACATGAATCATGCTAGAGAACATCGCTTGATAGCCAGCTGTGGAGTTCGGGTGGGTCGGCACATTGGTTGCGGGCGGTGACCATCATATCGCATCCTCCAGAGATGCGCACGCGGGGAGCCAACGATCGAACGAGCTTAAGCCAATATGCCCCTAAGATGTTCTCGGGCAACACCACGCGACGCGCATGTGTTTTCGGTGATGAACTGTTACAGGTGCATGTGACATGCCGCGGTATCCCGGGTCGCTAGATGAGCCTCATCAGCGCTGAGATGAGCTCCCCAGGGCCACCTGCGGCTTCCCCAGCTCTGGGACCAGCACGTGACTGATCACGTGTGTCAATCCGCCACAGGTCTGTGGCTGTGCGCATCCCACTTTTTCGGGCTTCGAGACCCTTTCCCACCGCTCGCGACCGCCTAACGTTTTCGACGCCCGACCAAATCTCTCCACCCTCTCACCTACACACCGAAGACCGGATTACCAAGCCAACCGATTTTTCCAAGATGCCTTCAGGACAAGGAGGTGAGCGCCATAACCTTTGCGCAAACTGAAGCGGGGTCAAGGCTGACAGAACACTATAGCCGGTACAAACCCCATCCACAACAAGCAGAAGAAGAAGAAGGCCGTCGAGCTCGATGAGGATGACCTCGCCTACAAGCAAAAGCTCGCTGCCGGTGCGTAACGCCCTATTTCCCACTCTCCGACGCCTATACCGCGACCGGCCCCGAAGCGCCACCACAAGGCTCCGAAGAGCAAGGACAGACTTGCTGACAATATACAGAGAAGAAGCAACGTGAGGATCTAGCCAAGACGGTCGGCAAGGGCAAGGGACCGCTCAACACCGGCTCCCAGGGCATCAAGAAGTCTGGCAAGAAATAAGCGCCCGGCATACCCACGAGCGAGCGAGCAAGCGACGAGACACGGCAGTGCGGCAACCACGACGATTTGACATGAAAGATACCACAGGCTGAGAGTCATGACTTGGCAGGGCGTTCATATACACATACCATGAATGCACAGGAATGAGCTATCAATGACCTTTGCGCATGCCAGGTGACTGTTTTCTACATTTTCGCTACCTGCAATTTAGGTCGTCCCAGTCTCCAGATACAGACTACCTCCTCCCTGCCTTCATGTTTGCCCCTTTCAAATTAAACACCGTTTCCGCGTTCCCCCACGCAACTCTGTCCCACTCCACCTGTGTCAAGAACCCGCTCTCCCTGAGTTCCTCCATCAACTCTTTCCCTCTTTCTTCAAGCGGGTAGTTGCTCGCATACAACACCCTGTCTACGGGTATCCGTTCCAGTAGCGCTCTTAGACTCGACATGTCTTGTGCGTCCGCTGTCGTGAGGTAGATGTTGTGTTGCCAGACATCTAGGAAACTTCGCTTCGGTTTATCTGCAGAGGGGATAGTGGTGAGCAGCATCTCGATGCGTGGAATGAGCGAGGGTAGCGCGCCCGGATGCGCGAGTATGAGACGGAGAGCAGGGTGGCGATCGAAGACGCAGCTGAGGTAGAGGTGTAACAGTGGGAGAGGAGACGTAGTTTGCGACGAATGGATATGTGTCAGGAGAGGCGCGTATACCGAAGAAGGGAAACTGTGTTGGTAATCCGGTATCTGCGCATGTCAGTCTACATGCTTTCCCTTCCTCTTGATATCTGAAGAACGGAAAAGCAGCATACCTCCGATCCCACCGGCCACATCTCCCGCAACAGAATCGGCACTCGATACCTCTCCGCCACATCCCAAAGGTCCTCCCACTCCACCTCTTCCAGCTTGATCTGCCTACTCATTCCAATACAACCGCCCACAAACTTCATCTTACCCACACACCTCGCCAGCTCTTTCGCTGCCTCCTTGCCCTCCGAAGGCAACATGCTCAGCGCAGCGACCTTCTCCCCATTCATGATAACCGCCGAATGCATCGTGTCGTTGATCTTGCTGCAGATCGGCGGTGCGGCGGCAATGGGGATGTGGCTGATGATTTGTTTCGAGTGGCCGAGAGTGCGCATGTCTTTCACGCGGCCGGGACCTATGTTGCGTAGCTTGGTGAGGGTAGCCGGGGGGATTAGATGGAGGGACGGCTGACTGGGTGATGTTGGTGGGGATGTGAAGACCAAGGTGGGTGCGAGGTGGGATTCTAGGGACGCGATTAAGGAGGCGGCTGTTGTTGTGGTCATGGCGGCTTGAGGTCTGCTTGGTGATGGGTCGTCAGGAGGAGGAGGAGGTGGGTAGTAATAGGTGGTTGAGGCGGATACAGGACGTCCGGGCTTGAAGAGTTGGCACTGGTCAAGGTTACCAGATGCATCTTTCTTCTAGACTTCTGAGAGAGGGAGTTGCGCAGTTAGTGCTGAGTAGTTGCGATCCAAGCTGGCGAGATAAGAAGGACACGTGCCAGTGAGTGCAAGTACAACTGTGGGCATCGGTACTGCCAACATAGCGATGAGGGTGGGACTGCTTTTGGATGGCTGACCAGCATGATCAAGTTATCTGCATTCATCATATGTCTCAAGATTGACAGACTATCGCATCAAGCACATGGTTGTTGAAGAAGTGTATGATTATTAGGTACATGTGTGCTGCGATTCGCGGCTAGTATGAAAACAGAAATCTTCCGGCAAAGATAATGTCAACGACAATTCCGTTCCACTACCAGGTATTCCAAGCACTAATTCCATCGTAACTTTCCATCACTAAAGCGCACATTGTGGCGGTGTAAGGATGACGACGATGGGGCGCGTGTGTTATGGGGCGCGTGCTTGTCGTGGCACTAGCGACCACGCTATGGATGTTGTTGTGATGACGTTTCAATATTCATCCGGGTGTCGGCTAGGCGGAGGCTGACTGACGGCTGGGCGCTCGTCAGGCGATGACTGTTCTCTTCCAACGCTTGGTCGAGAAAGTCTTGGTGGTGTCGTTATGGTCTGATAACCGTTGTTCATAGCTATTCGTAATGGGCATGTGGAGTGTTGACGCATGAAATGGATGCGCGTCGAACTTCATTCATCATGAGGTTCGGCGACCCTTCTTGCTGCCCAGAGTGAAGGCGCGCTTGAGCTTGCTTTCGGTGGCAGTGGGTGATGTAGGACTCGGTGTAGAGCTGCTGCCTGACCGGCGAGGGTCTGAGCTAGCGGACGACTGAGAAGAGGACCTCTTGCGGCTCTCTTCTGCGAGGATGTCGTCCAGTGAGACGTTGAGGTGGGGGTGACTGATCGGGACCTCTTCGAGGTTTTCGACAAAGCGAGAGGCCATTGCGTCGATAGTGGTAGTGAAGTGTTGGAGTGGGTGAACGGTCGTTGTGTGTGAATGGATGTGGGGAGATGCAGATCTTTATAGCACCAGTATCGATATATAGTGCTGGGTGGCTGATATGATCTACGCGTGATGTGTCGAGCGTGGCTTATGGTATATGTTCCAGACTTCGATGTGGCAATGTCCGGATATAGTATACCAAGAGAGCAGGCAGTTGCGGACACCGGAAATAGTGTAGTAGCGAGAGTGGAAAGGGTGAAAGCTCGAAGCGATGGTAGACGATATATGCCGAAGTAATGAACAAAGCCTAGGCATGCAAGGGCGGCGGAAGGTTTTTAAACATATCTCAGGGCGTGTGTGGACGAGCAGGTGGACGGGGTCCGTGTGTCGACGGCACACGAGGCCAGGGACTTGCTACAGTACGATCCAGGGTCTGTCCCGCCGATCGCGAAGCCTCGATGCATATAACGGCGGCGCTAAGGGCAGGGTATGACGTACCAAAACGTTCTGGACAGCGTTCTGCTGGCAGCCACACGGTCTTCGTGCGGCCATAACGGGCGCGTAACCGCGTGCGACAAGTCTCCAGTCGCACAGTCCCATGGGTGAACGCACTGGAAATAGCAGCGCTCGCAGGACTGACATATCCGCAAGGGCTCTCCCAAGCCGCTTGAAAGCGTCAACCAGATTACGGACGTCTTCGCACGACTGCTCGCAGGATTGCGCATCCGACCCGCCGCCTCCAGCCTCTGCCCAGTCATGCGCAGCGCGACAGCGGCGACCTTGTGAGCCTTGGGTATTCTTGCTCAGCACGCGCAACCCTTTCGCCACAGCTTGCGAATATCGGCTCGCCGTGTCAAATAAACTTGCGCCTAACATGCCTGCGATCAGCACGATCCCCAGGCAGTCGCGAGGCAAGACCGAGCCTGAGCACTTTATCCGCAGCAGTTATATTGAAACTGTGTCCGCACGACGGCAGCTCGCATGCGGTGTTCTCGTCGGGTCCGCTGCGTCCATCGCGAGTATGGCCGGGCCTCTGACGTAGGACGAGAGCCATCCAATATTACAGCCACCACTTTGGCTATAGTTTCCAAACCACGGCCTTGTCTAAAGCGCCGCCCGGCTCCGCTTGCCAGCGAACGATTGCGACAACAGGACAAGCTTCAAACGAGAGGCCTCGCCTAGGTTTGCGGTGTATTCGAAATGCCATACTCGGCAGCTAGTCGACATCATCGTGCAGGGTCCTCATTCAAACTGTCCGGCGCCCGGACCCTTGTGGGTCTGTGACAACGGTAAACCCCAAACTTCTGCGCCATCCGTCATGTCAAGTGGGCAGCGGAGCCGACTTTTCGAGGTTAAGTTGCAGATATAAGCGGACACACGACGCTAGCCGCGTGTGCAATTTGCTAGTCTTGGGCACCAATTGCACTTGTCATGTATACAATGTCGTGGCCATCGAGCCATCGTGAGGCTACACTGGTGTCGTGGAGCATATCGCAAGTCCACGAAATTTGCGCACTCTGCTAGACTGTTTTGAAGTTTGAGTAGTGCGGCTCTGGATAAGCTGGACGGATGACGACTTCCTTTGCATCGTCCAAACTTTCGTATCGGCTCAGGCATATGGTTAAGTCATCACCATCTTCCCCGACCACGACCACCCCTTCCGCCCCTCCCACGTCCCCTATGCCCTTGGCCACGCCCACCCCCTCTATGTCCACCTCCGCCTCTTCCCCCGCCTCGATTGGACCGCTGTTGCTCCGGTCTCGGACCGCTTTGCGCTAGTTGTGCCCGCTCTTCGTCTGACGCATGAAACACATTTGGGATCTGCAGTAAGTTGCAAAATGACTGAGTGTGCGGGTTACTGTACTCTTGCGGGGTAGCCTGGACATGTATGCCTAGTGCGGGGTCATATGTCGGCGCAGTTGCTGTAAAATCCTCAGGTATCATCATCTTGTCAGCTGTGACAAGGTTCTCTTCGATCCAAGCTATCTCTTTCTCCACAAGAGGTCGGTAGACCGCATCGCCTTTGTCTGCAGGGACTTGCGCATATGGGTCCCCTACAGTAAGGTGATCGGCGAAGACACGAGTGATGGCAAGCCACTCCGTGTCATACTGCAATCGCAGAGGCCGTTGCAATTCCGCAGGTGTATGTGGTTGTATTTCCAGCAATTGAAGGAAGCTCCGTTTGGGCAAGCACTTGTCAAGTGCAAGAAAGTTGGTCGTCTTGTTCGTTATGTCTTCAGGAAAGGGGAGGGTCTGTACTATCTCAGCCTTCGGACGTGAGAATGATTCCGGTAAGAGGCTGCGAATGTCTTCTGGAACTTGAGTTTCGCTCTCCGTATCAACAGATTGTATAGGCTTCTTGGGCTCTGCGACTGGTACAGGGACCACCTCGTCGTCGTCCAAATCCATGTCAAGATCAATTTCCGCATCATTCTTAGGTGCTGGTATCGGCTCCTCGTTCGATACATCCAGATCAATCTCGCCGTCGTTTACGACCCGCGGGATAGCACTATCAGCATCTGTTTGCGGTGGCGTAGCATTCGGAACTTCTGCGTGTTCCCAGACAGCGGGGAACTTAGCATGCATATGGGCACTGAACCAATGAGGTGGTCGCAGGCGCTCGAGGACTACCTTTGCAGCAACACTACCAAGAGTACCGTCCTTGGCCTCTTGCTCAAAGTCTGGCTTCCAGCTAAAGAGCTGCCGGAAATTGCCTTTCCACTCCATACCGCGCGGCCAGTCATGGCTCAGTCCAATGTCAACCTGCGTCCGTATTTGAAGCAATTTCCGCACGTCGAGTTCTCGAACATGATAGATGCTCCGAACATCGTCACTGTTGTAGGGCAAGCGCTCATAGTGTGGCTTTTTGTAGTTGTAGCCTTTCCAGATACCAGACAGACCAGCAATGCGCAGTGGTCCCAGCCGTATCACATTGGCTGCGCCCATGTAGTATATCTTTGGTGCGGCCCACCCGCCGTAGTAGAGCTCCCACATGTAGTTGCTCGCTTCGTGGTTGCCGCCGATGAATATGGTGAGATACGGGGCTGTACGCAAGCCTGAGTAGTATTCGTGAAAGTCGTGCATGGCGTGGTACTTGGAGGGCATCGATACTGCCTTGAGATCGGACGCGTTTCGAACAGCCTATGAAGTCAGTCACTGGATGAGCGCTATGAAAGTTTGACGTACCTGGAAGTCACCGCCAATAATCAAGAGATCCACATCTGGCCAGCCTTTCAGCTCGCAAGCTTTTGCGACAGACGCATAGATCTCGTGTAGCACTCCATGGCCGCAACCTTCGACTGCTATGCGCACGCCTTGCTGTTCTACCAGTTCTGGGGCGGCCATACTTCGACAATTGTGAACCGGTAGTTAGTGAGAGGAAGACTCTTCAGTAGCGCGACCACAGAACTGCTGCTAAGGCTTTGTTGCGCAGTACACTAGTGCAAGAATCGCGACGCGCGCAGAGTAAACATTATGACGAATGCTGCTGTCGAAGAAAGTAAGAGCACGGCCCTGCAGCCCTAGCGTCGGGGGTCGGAGTTATGATAAGCTAGCGAGCACGTGTAGATACTGGACCTGCAGGAAGCTTCTCAAGATCTGCGCAGAGATCATTCAGGTCCTCTAAACACATGGCTTCAGCAACTCAAACAGAGCTGAGGGCGAAGTTCCTTCAGGAAGCCGCTCATCTCCTCGCAATTCCCTCGCCAACAACAGCAGCGTTTCTAGGTAATGCATGCAACAAGCTAATCGAAGATGCTGAAGTCGGTATTTCAAGCAAGGAGACGGATGCCCTCCGACGAAGTATTTGCGGCGCATGCGGGAATGTCATGATTCCAGGGTGGTCGTGCAAAGTTTCGAACAAAGACAAGCTCAAAAGCACCGGCAGAAAGTTGTCGGTGCCCGAGAAAAGTATTCAGTATACCTGCTTGCGATGCCAACGAGAGACGCTTCAGACGCTTCAGCGAAGGCCTCGCAGACAGGTCAAGAGATCACGGTCTCTGTTGGATACAGTTCCAACGTCGGCAGCTCCGACTACGACTAAGAAAGAAGAGGATGCAGCCCCAAAGACGATTAATGCAAGCAGCAAACAAAGACAGAGGGCACGCAAAGGCGGCCTGCAGGCTATGCTTGAAAAGAAGAAGACACAAGACTCGGGCACGGGCGGACTCGATTTCATGGACTTTGCGCTCTAAGTCCCGTAGGGCTGAGTGAATGCAGCCCACCTGCATGGAAGGGCCTAGCGACCCGTGGACACCCCGCTATGCAAGCGCGGGGCTCAAAAAATTCGAGGAGTTATGTCATCAGAACTTGCGAAAGTCAATACAGTCGCAAGCAAAATCACTTTGTCCAACACTACCCTACACCAACATTAATCGATTGCAAACATGGCACAGCAACAGAGCCTTGCGAAGGATCTCTTCGAGGACATGGGCCGCAAGGTCGCCGAGGCGAGCGCCCAGGGAGACAACGACGACACAAAGGTTGTCGACGAGATCGAAAGCATGTGCATGAACTGTCACGAAGATGTAGGTGCATTTATAAAGTAATGATAGATTCAGCTGACATTTGGAAGGGTACTACGCGCCTCCTCCTCACAAGAATACCCTTCTTCCGCGAGATCGTCCTCATGTCCTTCTCATGCCCGCATTGCCACTTCAAGAACTCTGAGGTTCAACCCGCCGGTGAGATCCAGCAACGAGGCATCAAGTTCTCTCTCAAAGTTGAAACGGCCGACGATCTGAGCCGTCAGATTATCAAGAGCGACACCGCAGTGTTCCGAATCGAGGACATCGATCTAGAGATACCACAAGGGCGAGGACAACTGACGAATGTGGAGGGCATACTCGCAATGGTAGCGCAAGATCTAGAACAGAAGCAGGAGGAGAGGAAGGCGGTGGTACCAGAGGTGTACGAGCAGTTGCAGGGAGTCATTACCACGATCAAGCAGATGGCTACCGGAGAGAAGCTGCCTTTCAAGATCACGATCGACGACCCTGCCGGCAACTCGTCAATCGAACCTCCCAATGTACTTGGCGCAGGAAAATACTCTCGCAACGAATACCCACGAACGGCGGCGCAAAACGAAGCGCTCGGTCTGGGCGACACCAGCGGTGACGCCAGCGGTGAAGCGCCTGCCACAGAGATCCGACCAGAGTACCACGCCTCCCAAATGTACCCAGAGATGCCGTCCTCTCACGCCCCAATGGTGAACAACGTGGATGAGGACGACATTGTGGAGAACCAGGTCTACTCCTTCCCTGCCAGCTGCCCAGGATGCACCAAGTCGTGCACCACAAACATGAAGATGGTCAACATTCCCCACTTCAAGCAGGTGGTCCTGATGAGCACGGTGTGCGATCACTGCGGATGTAAGTTTATATCATGGAACAATCCACGTTTACCTGCTAATGCAATGCAGACCGAAGTAACGAGGTCAAAACCGGAGGCGAAGTTCCTGAGCTGGGTCGTCGTATCACAGTCACGGTTGACAGCAAGGAAGATCTGTTGCGAGATATCCTCAAGGCCGAATCATGCGCCATGTCCTGCCTCGAGCTCAACCTCAGCGTTGAACCCGGTACTCTTGGTGGCAGGTTCACCACGATCGAAGGTCTACTGACCCAAGTACGCGATGACTTGAAATCTTCCATCTTCGACGCTGGCGGAGGAGGAGACTCAATGGACTCAGAGTCCAAGCAGAAGTGGAACACCTTTTTCCACAACCTCTCTGCAGCCATCAACGGCGAAGACAAGTTCACTCTCGTTCTCGAAGACCCTCTCGCCAGCAGCTACGTCCAGAGCTTCACGGCACCGGAGCCCGACCCAAAGATCAAGGTCGAGGACTACAAGAGGACAGAGGCGGAGGAGGAGGAACTTGGGTTGCTCGACATGAAGACGGAGGGCTACGAGGAGGAGCATGCGGCTAGCATGGCAGCGAACGGGACAACGACCAATGGCGCGTAGGGCTAACTTCGATGTCTCTTAGATTTCCTTGACTCTTGCATTAGGTCGGCGCTCGTAGATACCAAGGCCTCGCCAGCCATGATCAGTGTGACATGATCTTCTTCCAACTCTTCCCTGCGTCCATGCTTCGTGATGCCTATAGCGACTCGGAATCCTTCTGCCCAACGCCGATAGTGTGAATGGCCGGCTCTCTCAGATCTTGATCCGCGCTTTCTTTTTCTGCAGATGACGCGACATCCTTCAGGCTCCAATCAGACACTAGGCTTCCAGCTTGACATGAGTCGCATTACTACCGCTGTGCCCAGTAAAATATTGTTCATCCTGCCAGCGGGTTTGCATGAATGGTAATATTCTTGATCTCCATCTTCTCCTGCGGTCTTGACTTCTTGTCTACTTGAACGGCCTCCATGTCATCCAGCACCTCCCATCCTTCGAGCACCTTTCCAAAGACGGTGTTCTTCCCATCCAAGTGCGGCGCAGGCGCAAATGTGATGAAGAACTGCGAGCCGTTTGAATTCGGTCCCTTGTTCGCCATGCTCAAGATGCCTCTTGCATTGTGTCGCAACGCGGGCCGAAGCTCGTCCTCGAAGAGCTGGTTTGGCGTGTCGTAGATGGATGTGGAAGTCTTGGACTTTGGGTCGGAGGCTGGCGAGCCCGTCTGGACCATGAAGGAGGGGATCAGGCGGTGGAAGGGTGAAGAGTTGTAGAAGCCCGACGCGCAGAGGGCGAGGAAGTTCTCGGCGGTCTTGGGGACGGCTTCGCAGAATATTTCGAGTTTTATATCGCCCTTTGTCGTATGCAGCTAGTCACTGTTAGCAACAAGCTTGCAGTAGGCAGGCGGTTGGACTCACTGTGACGGACATGGTGGTGGGTGCAGATCAGTCGTGTTTGTGGTTTGGAAGGAGCGATGATGGCGCACGAATCGGACCCTCGAAGTTGAGCGCCCATCCACCTCCACCTCGTCGCGCCTAGAACATCGCGCGTCTATCCGACTGCGCTTACTGTGTGCAATCGCCCTGCATTCGCTGTCATCATCATTGCTACCGCCCGCTGCCCACGCTGCCTCCTCTGCTCGCGACACTGGCAGACGGCCGACCTCATCATAAGCGCCGCCGCATAAGCTCCACCCGGCGACAGCCCTACCACGCTCGGGACGTAATCCACCACAGTATCCCCGCGCATTCACCCAAGACACGCCCATTCCTACATCGCAAACCTTAGCCGTCGGCCCGCCGCGCATCCACCGGCCTCACTGCCACGCTGAGCCCCGCGGGTTCGAGATACGAGGCGCCTACATCATCTCAACCCCACAATTGGCTGCCCGGAAGGCTACCTAGCTCCCAGCACGGCATAGCTGCCCGGCGCATCACCACCCTAGAGCCTCCAGCGCGCGATTCGGACGAGGGCACCGCATTCTGAAAGGCCACGGACACGCCCATGCAGCGCCCGCTGCCCTCCCAGGCCTGCGCTGCGAGAAACGAACATGTCGGCCTTCGTTCGCGTCTCAGGACCGCCCAACAGTAACTTTCTGGTTGGCTATCCGGGCATATCAGCAACACTAGTACGTGTCTCCAGTCTGTTTCCGTTATGAGTGGGCGTCTTGCGCTCCATCCAGCCGCGTCGAGTCGCTGTATGACCGACTCCCCTTCGACAAGGGTACTGGCCATTGCTGACATGTCACAGCCTCGAATAGAAGGCAAAGTCGAGATACGGCCACTCATTGGAGTATCGGCGCCCGTCAATGTCTCCCTCGTCACCATCGCATTGCACCGTCGCGAAACCATACACCCGTCCGCCGACTCGGTTACGAAGAAGCATCTGGCAGCCCCGCGCAAAGAGATTACCGACATCGTCGGTAAGGAGATGCTCCTATATCGATGTTCGCCCGGAAGAGAGCATGAGAGTATACTATGTATGGACCTCCCGTTCGTCATCTTCATACCGTACGGACGCGGCGGCGAGGAGGTAGCGAGGAGAGTCCCGCCCGCGAGTCTACAATTACCGAGTCGGACGGCGGAGACGTTTTACGAACTCGTCGTGACAGTACAGCAAGGGCCCCAGGAACAGAAGAAGTATCCCTTTGCCGTGCCGATACAACGATACGACACCCTCTCTACCTTTGGCATGTACAATCGACCCGAAAGCGCAGAGCGAGTGACGGACCACCTCGTCACCCTTGGCATCAGCCTGCCGAGATGGAGTTATGGACCCATGGACCCAGTCTCAGTATACATCAAATTGAGTCCCAACCCCGACTGGCTGAGCAAGGCGAAGAAGGTCACAATCAATAAGATCACAGTCGGCATAGACGAAGAGATCATCTTCAACCACGAAGGAGATGAGCCGACTCGTAAAGTCAAGACGCTGGCAAAAACACAGCAACACGTCGGAGTGAGGATGCCCGAAGCGGGCTATTTCACGAACCTCGGGCTAGTCTTCCCCGCAAAAGATCTACGAGACAACGCAGGTGTTATCCCAAGAGGGCAGAAGGAGTTTCCCATGTACGCTGTTACTGGTTTTACGACGACTGGTACTCTATACAAGATTGAGTACTACCTCACTGTCAAGGTAGGCTGGACTGGGCGAATTGCAAGTTGAAAATTATGCTGACTGAACGCAGGCGCAAATGTCGTCAGCCCGAGACATCCTGCTCCGTCAGCCCATTGTGGTATGTCCTTTTGACCATGCAGGCTGTAAAGAGGAAATGGAGGCCATTGAGCAGGCAGCCAAGGACGCCGCACACGTCACACCTGACAACCCCATGTTGCCCGCCAGTACTATTGTTCGATCCAACGACCCAGAAGGCTTGCGCGCACTCGGTATCGCAATTGTGGGAGGCGTACGGAAACCGCTGATTGAGTGAAGAGCTGGTCGCGCAAAAGCATTGAGGATTTTGAGGGACGCGATTTTGCCATGCGTAGGATACTTGTGTTCGACATTCCGCACGTTTGGTCTCTGCGATTGGAGGATCAAGACGGACTCGAGCACGAAACGTTGTTGGATGAAGCCACCGGCAACCAGCCGACCCGACCAGGACAGACGATCTGCACTACTGTGCACGCAAATTACTGGATCGCGCAAAGGCGATAGCACATAACACAGGCGCAACACCGATCATGAAACCAGCGGAGCCCGGAGTCATGTCGAAGCTACCATCTACAGCACGCATTGGGTCTATTTGAACACAAAAGGCGCAAGGTCATTATACCCAGTGAGCTTGTGCATTGTTTATAGGGAGCATTATTTTGGCTTTTCATTGGCGTTACAAGGAAGGGCACGACGGGACGGCCGCCTGTTTGTTCATGATACCTTCGAGTCGTTCGTTCCTATTTTAATCATCAGGTTGGAGGGAGAAAGGAAGAACGCCTCGGCGGGTACCGGGAAGTTTTGTCTTTGGGAAAGGATTCGTGCATTGATTGGAGAAGGAGGAGGAGGAGGAAGAGGTGATCTAAAGAGCGAAAGAAAAGCCACAGTAGGTGGATCTCAATAGCTAGGGCAGAGAAGTTGAAGAATAACCACTACTCATGACACTTCACTCAATCGTCCCTGCCTGGCCCGCTTTCATGCCTATACACAAGACCAGCCTCCTATCCATACCCTCATTCTCCCCCATCAGGCCACTGATCCACCAAACCCTCCGCCCCAACCTCCCCTCCCGTCCTCCCAACCAACGCCCCCAAATTCATCCTAACACTATACCTCAGATACTTCGTCTCAACCCCCTTCGCAAACCCGCCTCCCAAACCACCAATATCACTCTCCCCACCACTCGGATGATGATGCGCGAAAACAGGTGGTTGAGTCGTCAGGCAAACCCTCTCATCCCCCTTCACACCCACGCCGCCACCTCCCCTAGCACTGCCAGAAGCGTGCTGAGCCTGCCGCCCCATATCCGGATCGTTCCCAGCACACCACCGCCCAAGCTCACTGTCGAAAATCCCGTTCCAACCCGCCACCCCGAATTGATGCAACAAGCGCCGGGCGCCGCGTTGCGAGACGGCGTATCCGACTGTACAGAGGGTGCCGCCTGTGGCGCGGTGGTAGATGCGTGTGTGTGGTGGGAAAGCGGTGGCTAGGGCGTCTAGTTCGCCTTGGAAAGGATGAGCTTTTAGGTGCTGGGGTGAGGGTACCGTGGCATCGTTGGTGTGCGTTAGGGTTATCGTGCGGTGGACTGCGTGGTCGTAGACTTGGGAGTGCTGACCGGGGGCTTCACGTGGCATGCCGGTTCCGCAGTGGCCGAGCCAGAGTATGTCCCATTTTGTGGGGTCGCCGTAGGGTGATGGTGGTGATGAGGTATGGGTAAGGTGGGATTGGCGTGGGAGGGATGATAGAGGGAGGGAGATGAGCTTTTTGGCGAGGTTGGTTGTGTCGATGATTTGGAGGGCGGTGTGTGTTGTTTCGGTGTTTCGGTGGGCGTGCAGTTTGGAGAGGGGGATGGACGTGTGGTTTGAGGATAGGAAGCGGGAGGCGAGGGCGAAGCGTTGTAGGTTTTGACGTATGCGTGTGTCCCAATCTACGTCGTCTTCGAGGATGAGGGCTGTGGTTAGGTTTTGATTGACTATTCTGAATGTTGTTAGGTCAGTGATGTCTCCTAGTCAAGGGTGGAGAGCGTGTACTGTTGTAGGGCGTTCATATGTGTTCTCCAACTTCCTCGAATGCCGGCTGAAAGCTTTCTGTTCTCTTCTGGTAGAGGATATGCCTTGTTGTTGATACTCTCCCCTGTTACGCCTTCGACAAATTCGAGCTTGATGTTGGAAATTGCTGCTGCAAGACTCATTGCATCGCGACGATCGGTACGGGAGGGCAGGTTGAGGACCAAAATCTTCTCGAACTTGAGTTGGGTTAGTGTAGGTAGGATGTGAGAAGCTGACATGTTGTACCGCTAGCGTTGTATTCAATATATCCCTTAAGGTTTCGTCCTGTACAAAGGCGAATGAATCCTCTGGTATCAGAACTTCCGACGTCCTTGTGTTGAACCACAACCACAAGGCACCGAAGAAGACACATGTCGTCAGCAGTCTAGGCGCAGACATCCACCCACTCCTTCTCCTTGCGACCTCAAACCTCGTGCCGCTCTTGGAAGACATCAGTCTCAAGGTATCAATAGAAATGCGTCGCATGCGGGCGGAACGTAGCAGCAGCAACACTGCAGAGATGTGAGGAAAGAAAACATGATGAGCAAGTCAGAATCCTGTGGCACGGCATGGTCAGAAGTAAAGCGAATAACTATATTCATGTTGGTCATTTCCAGGTTTGTTGCCTTCCCTCCGACCATTCGATGCGCGGCTTGCTAGGCTAAATCGATCTGCCGAAAAGCATGCGGGGCGCATGCTGTATGCTCCTATACTCCGTGAGCGAGTATATTGCGGCAGCTAATGTAGCCAAGTGTGGATATGTGTTCCTGCTGCACTCGACATTGGCATGTGTAAGCACGTGAGAAGTGACGGCGAGCATGCAGAAGATGTGGATACCTAGGTAGTGTGGCGGCGACTCGCCGCGGAGGTTTGTAATCTCGGAATCTTTTGGAAATGCGAGCCTATCGATAGGCCGGCGCGTTGCGTGACTGCTTTCTCCGCGACATCGGGGCGGCGTGAGTTTTGGGCTTTCTTAATTGTATCGCGCTCTTCGTTCTTCCTCCGCTCATTCCTCAACGTTTTGCCTGCATAGTCTGGTGTTTGCTGTCTCTGCGGTCGTTTTTACTCTCATCGCAATACCGCTTGCCACCCCTCCCCCACTACAACACGGCGCAACATGAGCGCCATTCTTTCAGCAGACGACCTCAACGACTTCATATCACCGGGTGTCGCGTGCATAAAACCTATAGAGACGCTCCCCGTACAGCAGGCAGACAACTCGGTATGTTAGGTTATCGCATTGCGTCATGCGCGGGCGCATTCTAACAATGATGCTAGAACCCATACGAAGTTACGACCGAAGAGAAAGCCGCCGCCTCAGAACCGCCGCCACCCGCTTCGATATCGCTTACCGATTGTCTCGCCTGTTCAGGATGTGTAACAAGTGCGGAAGCCGTATTGGTTTCGCTGCAATCGCATACCGAGGTCCTCACAACGCTTGATACCCACCCGTCGTTACGCGCACCGTGGCTGGCACACAATGGGACGAATGGACATACGAATGGACATACGAATGGACATACGAGCAATGGGACAGAGAAAGATATGAATGGGCAAAATGCTGAAGGAAAGCTATTCGTCGCAAGCGTCTCACCACAGTCGCGCGCAAGTCTGGCAGCTGTCTTCAACATTTCCGAGGTAGAGGCTGGAAACATGATCGCACAGCTTCTTAGTGGACCTTTAGGTCTGAGGTCTGGTGGCCATCAAGGAAGCGATTTCACGTGGATTATCGACACCAACGCGATGCGCGAAGCCTGTCTCGTTGCCGCAGCAGACGAGGTCACAAATGCACTCTCTCCCGAAGCATCTAAGATTACACCAAAGCCCGGATCCGAGGGCTCAATCGATACGACTCCAAAAGCTCCTATACTCACATCTGCCTGCCCAGGATGGATATGCTACGCAGAGAAGACACATCCATACGTTCTCCCGCATCTCTCGCGACTCAAGTCGCCACAAGCTCTTACCGGCACTTTGATCAAGTCGGTTCTTAGCGAGCGTTATAACGTGCTGCCATCTCAGATATGGCACCTCGCCATCATGCCATGCTTCGACAAGAAGCTTGAAGCTAGCCGTGGAGAGCTAACATCAGCTGCATGGCTACCTAGCTATGACCAGTCGCAGGAAAAGATCCGCGACACCGACTGCGTAATCACAGCTCGCGAACTCTTACATCTCGCAGCAGCCCGTGGCATCAATTTCGCTTCCCTTCCTCGTACACCACTTCCATCTAGCGACCGAACGCCGTTCCCAGACCCAAAGCTAGATGCATTCCTATTCCCTCCTTCGCGCCGGAAGAACCAAAGCGCAGCCGCCGGTCCATCTGGCGGATATCTACACCACATACTGCAAACCTACCAAGCTCAAAATCCGGGATCTACAATATCAACAGTCCGAGGGCGTAATGCTGATGTAGTGGAATACTCGGTAGTTCGTGGCTCAGAAACAATCATCAAAGCAGCACGATTCTACGGTTTCAGGAACATCCAGAACTTGGTACGGCGACTGAAGCCAGCAAAAGCCAGTAGATTACCGGGCGGCAAAACGGGCGTTAGCAGGAGACCAGGTGGTGCAGTTGCTGCTGCGGGTGAGGGTGTCAAGGACTATGCGTACGTGGAGGTCATGGCTTGCCCCGGTGGATGCACAAACGGCGGTGGTCAAGTCAAGGTTCAGGAAGTGGAAGAAGTGCGCGTCTACGAAGGGATTCAAGAGGCGAACGAAGATGCGCCCGCGCCCAAGCCAGGCCCAAAGGAGCAGAAAGAGTGGCTGGCAAAGGTGGACGAAGCCTACTTCTCGGGCACAGACTCGGAAGAAGAGAGATCAAACGGGGACGGCGATCAACACATGACAAATGGGGAGGCGAATGGAAACTCTCCTGACCAAGATGTCGTTGATGGGATATCGAGGTCACGCATGAAGCAGCTCATGGCACATTGGGCTGATATCACGGGCGTCGATCAGCAGAAGCTGATATACACTTCGTACATCAAGGTCGAAAGCGATGTTGGCAAGAAGAAGCCGAGTGACATGGAACGTGTTGCTGGGCTGGCTGTTACCGCCGGTGGCGGATGGTAAAGCCATGCTTACGAAAAGATGAAGGCATTGGAAACAGGCAGGAGCATTGCATGGCGTTTTTTAGATGATTGATTGCTTTGCTTCGAATTCGTGTATTCAAAGCAAATTCAAAGCAAAGCAATCAATCATCTAAGAAACGCCATGCAATGCTCCT